CTTCCATGGATTCGTCTGCACAGCATCTTTGCTTACGGATTACTTGGCTTTATTTGTTGTCTTTTCAACAGGTAGACTAAAATAAATGGGATTCGAATGACCAACAATCGAAGGAAGGGTTCTTAACAACATTTGGCGAAGAAGTAAAGACCACGGTTGTTAGCACTTGCTTACGTACACTTATAGGTAAATACGCAGCTGTCTACATGCTAGGGAATCCAGCAAAACAAAATTTCTTGCAATCCTTCAGACTGATATTTACTAATTTGTCAGATAGGTATTCATCTAGCGATGGCGGATCCATATTAAAAAAGAAAATAATTTGGTTTCCTCGCCGATGGCAGCAAAGACAATTGTTAAAAGTATTGCAGCTTGCACTAGCTTGCCAACGGGGCTGATATGCAGGAGAATTTGTTTTGAAGTCGATTAGTGGCCATTGTCTCTTCATCAGTCCAAAGTTCCACTCAACAGCAGCTTGAACAGCGCTCATCTCCTTGTTGAATACGTTCTCGTGTGTTGATAGTACAGTCTGTCTGAAGCCGGTTTCGACATAATCACTAATTGTGTATGCCGGGTCTCCAAAAATCGCGCGGCTGTCAAAGATATCGCATTGGACTTGAAATCATTTAGAAGTCCGCTTGCTGTAAGCACTGTAGTATCGTGTCGCCGTCCTTCATACGGCTTCCAAAAGTGTATGCAAAGACCGTCAGGTGCAGTCAAACCTACAAAAATAGATAACAGCGTTAAAATATGGGAATACAATAGGTGCATATTCGTAACAACAGCTCGTCTTGGAAGGTTAGACAATAAGTGCGCTTGTGACCGCTGTAAACCTGGTACTGCAATTTCTCTCCATTTCGCTTGCGTCTTGGGCTAGGACGACAGATTGGATTATTTTATGAAATCGGGAAACGCAAAAACGCTGTTCATGCCGTCTTCTGAGCAATAGCACGACAGTACGAGCTAATACGAAGTTGTAGAAGACTTGTTGGAGCATACGATTTTTATTTATATCTTCCATCTACAAAATCAACTGCAAAACGGAGTTAACTTGCCAATACTACTTTTATCATAAAATAACCGAACTCATCCAAAGCAATATTATGCAAAGTGACCCCGAGGAGCGGCTAAACTTGCTCGACATGTCATGGAGGCGTTAAAAGGAGCATAGCCGATTTAGCATAATCGCTGTAGCCTCTTCCTTCATGCAACGGTCACCATCCTCGGTAATAACTGTATCTGGAAGTCGAAAAATACGTACCAGAGAGCACACGCCTTCAATTGTGAAGTGGAAGTCGAGCTCAGCGTTGGCAGCGCCGTAGGTCCTCTCATTAAATCGGATGTTTGTGATAGGTGGGCGCTCCGGCATGTCAAAGGCACCCATAGCTGCCATCTCCATCCACAAATCCTCCTTTCCGAAAGTCGCAAAGAGCATCAACAGCTCAAGTGACCCCGTCTGTGTGATTGCGCTCATGGTGCTTAGGCCTTTCGGTCTTACTGCTTTTGGTATTTTGTGGAGGGGATTAAAACTTTTACAATTGGGAACACA